ATATATATGTGTTTAAAAAACGAATTAATTATTATGAATAATCGAATTACTTTACTGGAAACGTTATCGCTTTCTCCAGTATCCATGGGTTCCTCCATAGCTGCTGAAATTGGTGGCAAACAGTTGAAGAGGCAAAACGAAGTTATTCAAACACTAAAACTAGAACGAACGAGCTGATGCTGGCATGTTTGAGGAGACACTTTCGTATCGATTATTTGAGAACGAACCAACAAATTCAGCTAAGCACTAAGAAAGAAATGGCTGCTAGCATATATCTCGTTCTCATAACAGAGTTGTTGTGGAACGACGAATGAAACAACGATAATGCTGCATAATCGGAAATGAACAACACGAGTGTGGCGTGTGTCAGTGTGTGTGTGTCAGTGTGTGGTGGCTAAACTTTGTAAATATGACGTTTTTAACTGATTTAATACAAATGCAAATATAAACGTTCGGTTAAGTTCATTTTTCACCTGTGAGTTCAAAGCTTATGGGTCATTTGGTTTGATATCGTACTCTTTGAAATTAAGGAAGGTATACAGGCGTACGTTTCCACTTGCATCGTACAACGCCTATGAATGTTGGTTGATGTGATGTTTTATTCTTTCTTTTGCACTGCTTTTTTGATGAAGGAATAGGCTAAGAAATGCGACGAAATTTTGGATAGTACTTTGTTAAAGAGTATTCATATTAGAATAGACGTTAGTTTAGAGCGTCTTGTATGTGCTGTTGACCTCAGAGTATCAGCAACGCTTCATTGATTGCTGATGTATTCTCGTAGGTCATATGCTGTCGGTATATCAATTTATTATATTATATTTCATTACACGTATTTCTATGTATATTCTCCACCAGCACTTTATATTAGCCACCTCATCTGCTCAACCGCTCACCCAATGGACAATATCGATCATTAATTAATTCAATTATCGTCATTTGGATTACAGATTTCAACGGTCGGTCTTCCAGCGATCGTTTACTACTTAGCGTGCAATACGTGACGTGCAATCCACTTGTCAGTGATGCAGTAAGTTAATACTGCTCGATGAAACATTCATATTTGAGAGAAAAAGTTGATCTCAAGCTTTGGCTTAAACTAGCTTTAGAGTCGAACTCAAGCTCTGACCTTTCCTTAAGTGTGTCGGAAAAATAGTGCATAGCGTTGAGGGGAGCATATAATGAGTAGTGATGTTTCTATTGCACACTCTTAACGAACTGTTCTGTTGAATTTCAATACTCGTCAGTGATACAGTAAGTTAATACTGCTCGATTCGTAGTTGTTCTGTTCTGCTGTTCAGTGGTTCTATTAATGGAAATGTTCCGTCGAATTCCTTGAAACGGAAGAGGAATAGAACAGTTCGATTGAAGTAGAAACATGAGATGTATGAACCTGTAGTATACTGATACGGTAAGTTTAGTTGTTTTTGTAAATCGGAGAATTAATGATTAAAAATCGCATCGTCAGATGTCGTTACGTGGAGCAGTGGATGCATCACAGACTGTTGTGACAAATGCACCACCCCTGACATTCGATCCGAGAAACTTGGAAATCAAAACGAAATCCGTTGAACAAACACTTGTACCGCTTGTATCGCAGGTATTATACATTCAATCTGCTATCTGAATATGTTCCGGTGTAAACAACCGCTTAAGCGTTGTGTTTGTCGAGCGTTCAAGTCAATCATTTTAATTTAGATCACCACGCTAGTAAATTTCAAAGAGGGATGCATTTCGAGTGGGAAGCGACGTTCAGATCGAGCATTGAGGGCAGCGCTTAAGGTTGTTTTTCATCTTAGTTGTTGAGTGTTATTTGCTCGATCTATAAACTCATGATCAAGTTCGTAAACGATCGGTGGATAAACTAGTTGCTAAGAATGATTAAATTTAGATCGGATCTGCGGTTGAAGCTGCAATTGAGCGCTTTGTGGCCGTTGGTGAGACGATTGCCGATGAAAATGCCGATATTCAGCCGGAAATGTATGATGCATGTCATGAAGCTCGTCTTGCTGGTCAGTTCCAAACATGCGTTCACCTCAGATAATATCATTGGTCACATGAATAAGTCAGTAATATAGTTCCACTTACGAAAAAGTCAGTGAAGAAACATTCAGCTACTCATGCCATAAAAGTAATGACTCGAAATTGTATAGTTTATCAAAAAAGCCAACAAGCACGTCCAAACAGTTGCAGTAATTTTTATCATGTCATCCACCACCAAGTGAACCACGCTCTAAAACAAATACTGCGAATCGTCAGCCCATAAAATAAAGAGTGCAGTAGATCGGGGGTGATTACAAGAATGCAGTAGGTAGGCATGTGCCAACTAATTAGAATATCGAAAGTCATCATGAAAAGTGAAAATACTCGAGTAATCGTACAATGCAATGAAGTAATTGTAAGCTCAACCATAAGTTCCTTCAACCCAGCGATTTCTTTTCAAATGCTTCTGTTCCTCCTCTCTATACTCATTCAGATACCATCTTCCTTTCAACAGCTAATGAAACTGAAAAGTGTAAAATGTAGAGTGCACAAAAATGTGATCCCTAATAGAAAACAATATAGTGTTATAGTAAGATTTAACAAGATTCATCGATGTTTGATGAATACCAGATTTGTGTATGTCTATCGTGTTGGCAGTATGAAGTTGGTTTGTTTAGTTTTAATTTTCAGTAATGATGATAATGATAAGATATTAATTCATTAGGTGCGTCAATAGCAAATTTGAATGGATGTTTGATTGATGAATCGGGGAGTGCTATTGATAAAACAGTGTTAGTGCGTGCTGCAAGACAATTGCTTTCATCTGTAACTCGTGTTCTGTTGCTTGCCGATCGTGTTCTTGTTAGACACATATTAAGAGCTGAAGATAAGGTGCAGTATTCTTCTTTTATTTCGTGTATTTTCATCTGTTGTCTCACTTTTGATTAAAATGACCCAGACATTTTCAGCAATTATCAAATTCAATTAGTAATCAACTCCTGTAAAAAGCATGAATATAGTTCGATGAGTGAGGGATGCGTTCAAGCGAGAGCAGTATCAATGACGGTTGCGATGTTGTTTCAGATTGCATATTCACTTACGAAATTGGAGAACACAACAAATTTCACGGAGTTTGTTAAGATTTTCACAGAATTTGGCGGTGAAATGGTCGATTTGGCTCATCGATCGGGCGATCGGCAAAACGATCTGAAAAGTGACAAACGTCGAACACAAATGATCGTTGCGAGGACATCGCTGGAACGTTTAACGATGTTACTGCTCACATCCAACAAAACACTTCTACGACACCCGGACAGCGAGAGTGCACGTCAGTGTCGTGATGGTGTTTTTCATCAGGTTTATTATTGAACACTGATAAGCATCAAATATTCTTATTGTTTCACATCGTAGACATATGCTTTTAACCGTACTTTTTACATGCGGTATTGAACGGATGATTCGTGCAAAATATATGAATAATTTGTATAGATGCGATTATCTCTTCAACTGATTGGTTTATGTGTCACTGATGGTATAATACCATTCGATGCAACGCATTATGCATCACCATCTACCGATGAAATCCTTGATATTGGCATGCAGTTAACTGCAAACGCTGCTATTAAGCAACTCATGGTCAGTTATTATCATTTGAATGTTACTTACTCATAAAACATCCGAATCGATTTACTCGTATTTTATTGATTCATTGCTGAAAACAGAATCTCTGCTGATTGTTTTTAAAAGAAGTTTGTAAAAGAGATGCGAACTTTGAAATTGTAGGAGATGTTAGAAATGGTTCGAATGACTTGTAGCGTCGGAACAGGTGTGAGGGAGCGCTTAATATCGGCATTGGATTCACTTTGTGAAATGACTCAGGATTTCACAGATTCCGCATACACTCCACATCATCATCGTGAACAAATCTTAGATTTTTTGGAAGAATGTCGTTTCGAGATGACTAATCTTATACAACCTGAGGTTCGTTTGCTGTATGAACTTAACTGCATCGTGCATCTTTTACATAAATACCATAAAGCCAGTGTTGGGCGCGCTATCGAAGAACGATAGCGCGCTATCGCTATTCCGCTATCGAAAAGACTTCCGCTAGTCCGCTACCGCTATCGCTATTACCCACCGAATCGATAGCGGAGCGCTATCGCTACCGCTATCGCTATCGCCTACTTTAAAAACCTCATTACACCACTAAATGATTCAAAATTTTCATTAATCAACACGCATTTTTGAATTAAATGTGAGAAACATTACGAAAGTAGATTTTCACGAGAACATAAATTTTGTTTTATGACAATAGGACATATTTAAACATTAAAAAAATTTAAAACAATAGAACACAAACAACATTAAAACAACAACAGCATCATTAAAAAAGGCCACAACAAAACATCTTAACAGCAAAAACATCATCGAAAGTTTATCAGTCACTTTCGAAAACTATGTCAGTGAACCGAATGTCATATCAATAGGTTTGGTTAACAACATATTGTGAAAAAACGACAACAACAGAAACATACAAACTATATCAGCACACCGAATATTATATCAATAAATTTGGTCAACAGCATGTTATATAAAAACAACAATAACAGACACACATAAACTATATTAGCACATCGAANTCGACAGCATGTTATAAAAAAACAACAACAGAAACACAACAGCATGAAACACAACAGTTCAACAGCGAAAACATCATCAAAACAGCGCCCAAAATGCTCATAATTTCTCGTTTCCTTTGATAAACATCAACATATTGAATAATCCATCGGAAATTCTCGACCGCTTCGCTCGCATGATATCCTTTCCTAGCGAAAACATGCGCTCCACTGGTGCCCCAGAAGGCATGCCTGTGTTATATCTGAAATTTTTAACTACTTGAAGTCATGCTAGAGGTATTAATATCATAAGTAGAAACAATAGGTGATGAACAAGTATTGTTAAAACAAGCATGGAAAACATTATAAAGTAGCTGAAACAAGTATGACCAACAATATGTGGACCTGATAAACAGTTTAACGAAGCGCGTGTCATTCATAAAAGTTGCAACCCCCAGACTATTTTCGAGTTCTCCATCTAACCATTCTTCAACGATCTTTTTTGCTCTCTTTTTCAAGGACTTTTCGTGCGATTTGTCGACAGGCGTTGATATAACGCCGAAGAAGTCATGATTGCTTGTTGTTGTAACAGATTCTGTACTGTAAATAAACTGATAGCGGAATATAGCGGAAGTTGCTCGCTATCGAACAGCGATAGCACCGTTCCCGCTATCGCTATTCCGCTATTCACTCGAACTTCCGATATCGCTATTCCGCTATTCGCTATTAGCGGACTAGCGGAATAGCGCGCTATTGCCCAACACTGCATAAAGCAATTATGTTTGATTAATGTTGTTATTGTTTAGGACCATGATGAGCCATTAAGGAGTGAAGGCATAGAAGTGACCGTCGAAAGATTGAATCGTAGGCTTAAGGATCTCAGGAAGCAACTTCAGGTTGTTGCAATGGAACAGGTGGATAAATTTGAGAATCATATCTGTCTAGGAATGCAGTAATCATTTTAAGAATGTTTTGCAGATGTCTGAAATTCTTCGTGCAAATGAGGATCAGTTAATTCTTTCATCAATAAAAGCGTGTTCAGTGTCCGGCGATATCGATGGTGTTGAAAAGTATCTTGATAAGTTTCGTGAGCATGGTGAGCATGTTCAAGAGGTGCGTTCATAAAATGCACATACCTGTTGTTCATATGTACTAATATTCATCTGCTTATTATCATTTTTGTGAGCTTTCAATGAACTTTTGTTTTTATTGTTTAACAGGTAAGTGTTATTGTTTTAGGTTTGTCGTCTATTACATCATGTATCGTTGACGGATGCTTTGCATGTGTCAACAGGACACGCTGAACGAAATCTGCGATCGCTTGCGCCATTGGTAGGTTGATGCTGATTTCGTTTCAATTGAATTAGAGGAGAGGGGAGCGGTAGTGATAATAATCAAGTGATGAATATTGGCTGCAAAATATTGATAGACATTATTGGCTGGTCGTACATTATGCGTTCATCCATCGTCACGTATTGCTCGCGAGAATGTTGAAGTGTTCTGTGATACTTGGGCGCAGTGTGTCAACGATGTATCGCGATTGGCTAAACAAACTGATGCGGCAGCTAGTGGACGACTGGCTGCTGAAAAACATGCCTATATGTCATTACCGAGACCTGGGGTCAGTTCTTTTATCTTATCATCATTATTACTGTAAAATGGTTACCGCAATCTCACACTGTAATGTTTCAGAAGCATGGCACCACTCAGAAACCAACCAAGCCGATCACTTTAGATGTAGAGGTGAATTTCGCTTATCGTCGAATTTTTTTTTTCACTTTCAAGAACTCATCCTTAAATTCTTTTATGTAATTTCTCACGCAAAAATTAATTCTTTGTTGATAAAAGCTTTGTGAAACTGATTCAATGTTCGAAGTTTGATTCAATTTCAATAAGATTTCTGCTTCTATAACGCGCATTTCGCATTTAGCGAATATATCATAAACAAACAAAAATCACTATTTAGGACCAACAAAAAATGGCAAAAGTTGGATTGGAAATGAAATTACTAACGTCCGAAGTGGATGCAGAAGCGGAGAAGTGGGATGAATATGCGGAAAACGATATCGTTAAACGAGCTAAAGCAATGTCATCAATGGCTTATAATATGTACCTATTCACGAGAGGTGATGGTCCTCTCAAGACCACCCATGATCTCTTTACTCAGGCCGAATTTTTTGCTGAACAAGCTAACAAAATGTATAAAACTGTTCGCGAATTTTCTTACGAGGTTTGTAGTTTTACGTAAGAGTGAGTAAACAATATTCGTTGTGTTTTCAGTGAAATGTTCTGATCTTTACGTTGAGAGCCTTATCTATCTCTTTTTCTCAATTCATCATCGAGAACTGCTACAGGATGGCAGCATAAAAGCAATTATAACATAAGTGGAAGGGAATTTCAGTCTCCAAATGAAACTAGTAGTATTGTAATAAACTTTTCAGGTTCCTGGAAGTGCTGAAAAGAGCGATCTTTCAGCTATCCTTGAACAAATTCCAATCCATTGTCAACAACTTCAAGTGCTCGTTAAAAGTCCGACAGTTGGCAAATCAGCTACATTTTCAAAGGTATACATGCAAATGACTGTGTAGTTGCCGTAAAACAATTCAATAAGTGATTTCAGGTGGATTCGGTGATTCAAGAAACAAAGAATCTAATGAATGAAATCGCAAAGTTGGTCACTGCATGTTTTGTTTGTGCAACGAAGGTGGGTGTTGTTTGCAACGTTCATTGCTAGTTTGTAGACGCATAAAATACACTTGTAATTACAGTTCGAAATCGAATTCCGAGGCTCATCTCTGTCAAGACAGGCACTTGCTGATGGCAGTGAATACATGCAACGAAGCAGTCGAGAGTCAACGCTGTGGCGGCGCACGCCATCAATAAGACGAACTGCACCTGCATCTACAACACAGCACAATGAGATTTGAATCATTATTGGTTCATGACTTCCACTTACGATCAGTTGATTTGTTTATTGTACTTGTTCATGATTTGAAATAATAATAATGATGATAATAATAACAGTAAAAATAGTAACAGTGCATCATGCAATTTCTAATGGTGCATTTTAAATTCACATTAACTTTTATAACTATTATTGTTATCACTACTACATTATTTTAATGTCTAATGCTCATCTATTCACTACTTAAGTTTTTGAATTCCGTTTCGTTCGAATTATTAAATTCTATTCATACATACGTCTATGTTTCTCGTACTGAAAATGAAGCAATTTTCATGACCAAATTCATCATTAGCGTTTGATAATGAAGGAACAGAAGTTCAAATACATCGGAAGTGTAGCGCACATCTTATGAATTTGCATACTTTATTGATGGAGTTGTTATGAAAATCTCAGAGAATTGATCAGTCATTTAGCTCATTCTTCGCTCATTATTTCGAACTGATCTGTTTCCATCAAAACAGCAGCAGTCATGAATGAATAAAAAACAAATTGAATTGTAAAAAAATATGTTTCAACACATAAATGGACTGTCCATTGTCAAGCAGGCATAGGGGACTCGAAGACGGTCGACGATAATCAGAACGTAGAGGGTATTAGCAGATTTAATATCATGTATGGAATACCGAACATTATATTGTTGAGTTGAAATAATTCTGTTCGAGAATCAAGTACGGAATCAAACAAAATCCATGTTTTACTGATGTGGAACGCGTTGAGCATTACCAAAAGGCTTTTGGCATGCAATGAGTAAATAAGCTACTCACTCAACCCTGAATGAGTTGGATGGTCCTTACCAAGGAGATGGAAACATCTTGGACTACATCATCGTTTGTAAAAGATCACAAATTTGATATCAATCGAGCTGAAACGAGGCACTGAATACAATGAAATGCAAATCAGCTCAATAGTTGCAAACATTGTTGTGTCCTGACCGTACAATGTCGTACCACGCGACACAATCATAACGGTTTTTTCCGTCGGATTTCTCAGAAGGAAATCAAAGAACAATTGCAATACTGAGTTTGACTGCTCTTTTCGAGGATTCCTCTGACCTCACGTCTCCTATTCAGCCATAATTTTGTAGTTTCCGTGGTCCACCCATTAAACCGAGCCGACTGGTACCAATCTAACGAAATAGCAGCAAAAAATCATTTCGCTAGAAACTTCACAAAAGTCTTGACCATACACCTTAAGATCTCAAAATCGACATTTTTAAGATATCACATCTCAGTCAAGGATTAACACTTCCAGACAGCTAGAGCGTTTTTGAAATAATCTCGACCGCCTAAACAAGAACCATACCGATACACCTATGTTTACTGTTCTAGAGATGCATTTGTCGCTACGCAATATGTTGTGTCCTAATAACAAATCCCGAAATTCGCATAGCTATTGTCTTATTGCAGTCTCCCTATGGCGTTGTTCTAGTATACTGATTTCAGTCTCCCTACTATCTTTACTACTACTTCAAAAACCTTATCGACCTGACATTGTACGATGTGTCCAATCCTAATTTCACACCGAACAAGCATAAATGGATGCATATATCATTAATATGACGATTGGTTATGGAGGTATCGTTATGCTCTCGACAACACGTTGTTTTGTATCACTCGTCATACTCACAGTAACCGACGGAAGGACGTCTGTAGAAGCGTAACTGATGTAATAGGTAACTGATAGAACAGCGAAGCACAGCTGTGCACAAATTACTGAAATACCTCCAGTTAACTCATTGAGAGTGCACTCACTCGCATTAAAACGAACACACTCATGTTCTATTTGTCTGCATCACTGGTGACTAAGGATTGAACTTAAATATGTAATAAAGTGTTGTTGATGGTGTTTTTACTGGCCGCGAGAAGAAGTGACCTGAGGTCTCAAAGGCTCCTACTAGAGAAGGCTTATTGATCTCATCCTATGGTTTAGGCTAACATGCGTTAAACGGCATATCATAAACACTCTATTCGTCGTGTCGCTATTCCATTCCTATTCTGTGCTAAATGACACTTGAAGGGTCGTATTCCATAATGAGTTCCTCAATATATGATTACTCAGTTCTATTTACTCATGATGAATCGCTAACCGTGTTTTGCATTAGCATATTTTAAAAATGGCTTCTCACGTCGACATTCCGATAAGCCTTTAAATTTCAAGTTTATAGTCCCCAACTGCGATGAAAACAATCGTGTCAAGACTAGAACCTATACTACACCCGAATTCCCCCACATTTATCGGCACAAATCTACAACTGTTGCCACCATGACAGTCCTAAACCGGTGCTCGTCGATCCTTTCAAGCTGTTTCGGTGTGATATGTGGTAACACGGGGAAAACGTTTATGCAGCTGTCGCGCCACGCACCGTTCATATTTCAAATTTATCCTAATCTCAGCGAAGTTATGAGCCTATGTCGAAGCAAGCGCTTCAAAGTTGATCCTGTCCCTAGCATGTGGCATCCGGATAGCTTCTGCGGGGTCCTCTACGCAACTTGCGATTTTGTCTCAATCGTGGAATTCCACCAAACCATGTCTAGCAAGGTTTCCTCTCATTATGCCTGGCACGACAGCATCAAACAGAGTGATGAAGGCACGAAAACACGAAATAATTACAACAACAACAACGCGAAATAATCACGTATGCAGCAACAACAGCAACAGAACAATCAAACATATATGAACATGAACACGAGATTTCAATGCCTACATCCAATCGTACAATCCAAAATAAGATAACATGAACAAATTTCGAGGAACACCATGCAAACGAAATAGAATTAAGCGAGCTTAAATCATTTGGGTTCAACTCAAAATCAGTTTCAGTTCAAGCCAAGCTATTGTTAAGTGGAGCTTGACTTAGGTCTTGTCTCCGTATGCACAATGTATGAGAGCAATCCGAGAAATGCTACCTGCCCTTCTATTCCTCAAGTTATCATCTGAGTGCCCGAACTATTAACTATAAGAAAATTTCACAATATTACTCCAAAAATGCTAGTCATGACAATTGGTAACAACAAACATATCATATGTACGCAAACCAGTTAATTTACAATTCGAAAGAAAACAATAAAAAGATAATTCAATGGCCCATTGAGAGGTGCTACGCGGCTTTCAATTCCTCAGTTTATCATCCGCGTACTTGAATTGTGAACTATGAGAAAATTTTACAATATTACTCCAAAAATGACATTTCAAAAACAACTTATTGGGAACATACACATCGGTTCATTTCACGCCTGAGAAGACCTTATGCTAGCGATCAAGAGGAAATTCTAGTCTATATGCACAGATCAAACCGCAGTTGTCTAGTTCAACCCTGGCCCGGGATACAAGATCTCGAAAGTGGTCGACTATTAATGACAGAGGCGACTACTATAAAATTTGATTGCATTTAAATATCTCTCCGTCAACAAACTGAAGACCCATAATGCCTCACATCTCCTTTGAATAGGTTTCGCAAAGTTATCAAGTACCTTATTAGCATTTATGACAGACAATAACTGCACTGGCAAGGGAAATAGGACGTCATCATAGAAGTGTATGAATGCCGTCATGACACTAGCTAATAGATATATGAGGATGTCATCATAGAATGTGTATGAATGCCGCCATGACACTAGCTAATCATAGATGTGTATGAATGCCGTCATGACACTAGCTAATAGATAAGCTGAGTAACCACAAACACCTGAGAGATTTCTCCTCATAACGCATTTAATAACATTGGAATTTTATTCCAGCTGTTATTAAACAGCACTACGAGGAAGAGTTTCTTCGAGTCTCCACTCAGCAACTCGACTCTACAGGATGAGTGGTCCAGGCGAACTTTCCAGACCTACCGCTAACTTCATAAGGCGATTCATACCCTACGTTCGTGAAACTCATTTTTATAGGGACAGTTTTCTTCTTTTCTTATGCCAGTGTAGCTATTGTCAACACCTGCTATAGTTCCTGCCACAACAAACTAAATGAATATTCTCTTATGCGATACGTTCACCTCTAAAGAGCTATCAGTTCCGAGAGCTTGTTTCTCAGCTATGAGTTTATTAGGTTACTGTCTTCGAGTTGTGCATAGATGACTAAGCATTTCGCTGAATCGCATGCCTGGGGTCTGGTCAGGTCAGTTCAAGTCCAAGTCAGATTGAATTAATTTGAGAGGCTCAAAGTCGGATTCAAATCGATGTCAGTCAATCTCAAATGATGTCAAATCCGTTAAGCGGTACGTCAACTCAAGTGAATTCATGATAAAATTCCAGTCAAGACGTTTCAAAGTTTTGGCTCAGTGAGCTTTTAACGCAGTTACAGTCAAGCTAAGTCAAGTCAATTTTGCGCCAATTAGGACTAATATCAAAATATGTACTACTCTCATACCAAGTTAGAGTCCAACACGGTTCATGTAATAGAGTCCACACTGTGGGAGGGGGGGGGGGGGGGGGGGGGTGAGTAAGGGGAATGATTAGGTATAAAACAGAAAAAAATTCAATCAGGTGAGATGGGCCATATCTACAGCCAGTCCAAGTCTCTACCCCTGGCTCCAGAGTTAAGCGGGTCATCACGTGCCGCATCCCTCCTTCGCCCTATCCACATCCCTTACAAAAAAGTTCACAATGTTAACAACAATGATTGATATACAAAATGAATAAATAAATAAATTTGAGGTGTGAATGAAATTATAATAAATTATACATATACATTATAATACATATACAATACATTACAATAAATAAATAAAATCAATATACAAAAATTCAATCCTAAAGGGTAGCAGATATTTGTGGGTACTCTCGAAAATTGGTTGATAACGCTAGTCTATCGCCCGCTAAACTTCTCAGCATTTGACAATACAGTGATACTTACAATAACAACAATAACACAATACGATAATAGTGCAACCAATATTAACAACTGAATTAAAAATCACTAAAAAATCCCCCAGTTAAAGCATATGACGCATCATTAATATAT